ATCACTGCTTTGCATGATTCTTGCAAACCCTAAGCCCTAAACCCTAAGCCCTAAACCCTGGGCCCAAGGTGAGTTCAGCAGCACTGGCCGCTGTAGGCGGCACCAGCGATGCAGACATGCTGCGTTGCCAGAGCATGGCAAGGCTGAAGTTGAAAGGGAGCTCGGTGAGCTATAGAAAAAACCTAAAAAAAGGGTGCTATGATAGGGTTTAGGGTTTAGGGTTTAGGGTTTAGGGTTTATGTAGGGGGTTATATAGGGGACTACTATAGGGACTACTATAGGGGTATACTAGGACTTTAGACTATAGGTTCAGTGGTGGTCTATGCAATTTGAGATTTTTTCTTTTTTTCGGGAAGTGGTTTTGACAGCACGGACAGGGTGAGTCCAGTCTTCGGGGCAGAATCCCCCTTTAGCCGGCACAGGAACACGGACTTAAATTAAATTACCACAATGGTTATATATATATATGTATGGTAATTAATATGATTTCCGCAATATAGTATCTTAGTTTATGTTCCTTTAACCATAGCGCTTTGCTAGATCGCACTGTGCAGCATAACTGGTGGGAGCCTGCAGGGATACGCCAGGCCAAGTTTGCCTCCATTCCCGTTCATTGAGCCTGCATTTTGTGTAGGTCGCCTCTTGGAGCCTTGTTCCGCCTCACCCCTGATGGCATGCAGTTCTGGTCACAAGACTTAGGTATAAGGCCGTACGTGCTAGGAGCTTCGAAAAGAGGGGTTCTGCCAAGTTCTACCCTTCGCCTACTGAAGCCGAATCGTCTACATGCTGCATCATCAGCAGCTGCAACCGCCGGGATCATCTTGTGAGTGCCTGACAGGATGTTGACGGAACGCAGTGTCCTAGAAGAAGTGGTTCCTTCGGACAGATGCCTGCCAGCAATGAAGCCACGATTTCAGCTATAGTCTAAACTGGATTATCTATCGAGGATTATATGGAAGGATAAGAATTGGGGTTATCAAGGGGGATACTAGGAGTTTAGACTATAGCTCATATGCAGTGATGTCAGTACAACGACCTGCTTTCAGCGTTTGCATCCGGCCGCTCCGTCATTCGGGGGTTTCGAAGGTTCCTAGAATAAGGATTATATACAGTACTTGAAGGTCTGCCTTGGGGTCCCCCTATTCATGGAAACTGCCAATTCAATTTTGGACTGCGAGCCCTTATGGCGAGGAGTTTGAGCAGCTGCCTTCATCCAAGGAATTCTGGCCGGGGCCAAGGAGCTGCTCTTCAAATATGCCACGTGGCTGCTCATTCGTAACTATAATATTCTTAGTATGATTATTATTATGATTGGTATTATATTAGCACTACTATGATTAGTCTTATTATGATTATATTATCATTACTACTACTACTACTACTACTACTACTATTCGTATTATGATTATTGCTACTAACCTTGAGCAGGAACAGCCGTTGAGGAGACTACGCCTGAGGATCTGAATCTGAACCCCAGGGCTGGCAGAAAAGCTGCATACTTCGTCCTCCTCCAGTAAGATATATGAAACCCCAATATATTAGCATCAGATAGATAGATATCTATATATATATGTATGTATATCTATCTAATTATATGAGGGGATATTTTTCATTGGCGGTGGCGTTCATTATTGGGGAAGGAGATTACTTTGTCCTTTGCCTGAAGCAATTGAGCCCTCCCCGTAAACCTCATGGTTTTGGGCATTATATAAGCGTGTATGTCAGGCGTCATCGCAAAGCTTGGGGGACTAGTCATGAGGAGTTCTAGTCTGCAGCAATCTTCATCCTTTGCTGATTCCTTTTCGTCTTCCGTGACAGACGCACAACTCTCTTCCCAAGCGAGGTGCTGCATGTAGCAACTCTGCAACATCCTGCAAACATATCTTGAGGTGTTCGTGGGAACAGTTTTTAGTATCATGGGTCAGAATCCCTACATAATCCTAAACAAAGCCATAACAATGTAGACTTTAGAGGGCCCCAGAGTCTATCATAACCCTGGGACAGTGCTCCCACACAATCTGCTGGCCGAGGCGGTGATTCGCGATGTGTGGTTCGAGGTAGCCATGAAGCTTGTGGCAGTCGTCCTGGTTGCGGTGCCTTGGATGTTCGGATTTGCGTTTTCCTGGCTGTTCTGCTTTTTGGGGCTTTTGAACCCTAAGCCCTAAACTCCAAGCCCTCAACCCTAGACTATAAGCCCTAAACCCTAATTTAGGGTTGCTGGGTTTTGAAACACTGGAAATATCTTCTGGTTGATCTGGTTTTGGACACTCGTTGCTGGGTGTAGTGGCCTGGGATGCCTGTCGGAAGCCGTGATCCCAAATTGTTTAGGGTTTAGGGGTTTAGGGTTTAGTGGTTTAAGGTTTAGGGGTGTAGGGGTTTAGGGGTTTTAGGGTTTTTTTGGGGTTTAGGGTGTACGGTTTAGGGTTCAAACCAACCTAGGGATGCATGTTTATAGATAATGCCTACATTGAGCCATAGATGGGGAGTTCCCCAAAATTAGGGTCCCATATCGGTACCCCCAAATATTAGTTGCCGTAATGGAATCTGTAACCAAAAGGGGCCCATACTTTTGGGCACAACCCTAAGCCCTAAAGCCTAAACCATTGGGCTGTCTGGATCCCTAGGGCAACCTGTTGTAGCCTCCATGGAGAGCGGCCTCAGGTTTACTTTGTGCTTCCCCAGAAGCCCTAAAACCCTAAACCCTAAACCAGAAACACTAAGGTAGCCTCCCCAACCCCTAGCCACAAACCCTAAGCCTTAAACCCTAAGCCAGAAACACTAAGGTATCCTGCGCTGAACCCCAAACCCTAAACCCTAAACCAGAAACACCAAGGTAGCCTCCCCAAACCCTAAACCGTAAAGCAGAAACACTAAGGTAGCCTCCCGAACCCCAAGCCATAAACTCTAAACCAGAAACACTGAGGTAGCCTCCCTCAACCCCAAACCCCCCTAACCGTAAAACCTAAACCAGAAACACCAAGGTAGCCTCCCTAGCCTCTAAACCCTGAACCATAAGCCCTAAACCAGAAACACTAAGATAGCCTCCCTAAATACTAAACAAAACTCTAAACCCTAAAACCTAAAAGCTAAACCAGAAACACCAAGGTAGCCTCCCTAAACCCTAAACCCCAAACCCTAAGCCTTAAGCCAGAAACACTAAGGTAGCCTCCTCTGAAAGTGGCCTGAAGCTGACTTTGTGCTTCACGCTGGCTACGGCCGCTGCCCTTGGTACCCTGCAGCCGTACCGACAGCGCCAGGCCAGGATGGCGCAAAGATAATTAATTATAATGAGGGTTTAGGGTTTGGGGTTTAGGGTGGGTTTATAAAGGGGTTATAGTATAGGGTTTAGTGTTTAGGTATGGGATGATGGAAAATAGAATGGAAACCAGTATTCAGGGTGTATATAGGGGTTATAGGGTGTATATTGAGGTTATATTGGGACAATTGAAGAGAAAATGGAAACTACAATGCAGATTTTTAAAAAAGCACTCCTTTTAAGGGTCTTGGGGTTTAGGGTTTTTTCATCTTAGGATCCCAATTATTATCTCCATTAAGGGCAGGGGCTTTTCTAATCATGGTTCTACATTATTTCGGAAGGTGGCTCGTGCTTCTGGGGATCTGGCAGGTTTCGTTGAGAGCTTTTGTGTGGATACTGATTCCTGGCCCTGCCTATCCCCAGATTGCTAGAGTTGCTCCCCTTTGCTGCTCCGGAACTTAAATTAAGTTACCATAATTGGTATGTATAGTAATTCACAGGGGTTCCCCAATTATGTCCTTAACAGCAACCCCTTTGAAAGTGCCATTCAGTGCTGGAAGTGAGTTCTTGACTTCCAGCACCCTCAGCTGCAACTGTTGCGTCCAGAACAGGTGAGCCATAATCTAAACTCCTTAGAGGGGCTATGTAGGGGGTTATATAGGGGACTACTATAGAGGTTATTAAGGGGGATACTAGGAATTAAGACTATAACCCCTGTAATCCCCTATATAATCCCAGCTTTCATGTCATTGCCCATCTTTTCCATTTGATTCTGCACTGTTAAAGGGAATACCAGGAGTTTAGACCCTAAGCCCTACACCCTAAAACCATATATAGTAGCTTCCATTTTTTCCATCATCCCCAAAGAACCCCAATATACAGGAGTTTAGACCCTAAGACCTACACCCTAAACCCTAAATAGTAGCTTCCATTTTTTTCATCATCCCCAAGGAACCCCAATATACAGGAGTTTAGACAATGGTAAAACCCTAAACCCTAAACCCTAGGTGAACGACCTGCAGTGCTTCTGCTTCCTTTGCTCCTCGGCATGTCGCGGAGAAGTCTTTTCGTCCAAAGCAACGTCTCCCCCCATGTCAGGCTACTCAGGTGAAACCGTTGATACGAAAAATCCTGCATGACCTTAACATACCATAATGCCATGTTTCCAAAGGTATATAGTCCCCCTTAATTAAGTGCCATCCACCGTAGGCTTCCAGAATTCCGGGGCTTCGCAAAGCTGCAGGGGCTGCCTAGGGTTTAGGGTCTCAGGTTTAACGTTTATCTGCTCTGGAGACTGTGGAGAACTTTCAACAAATTCAGATTTGAGAGAGGGCACACTATCCGTAAACTTTATACCCTAAACCCTGAAGAGTACTTGCAGTAGTTGCAATGTTCGTTCCGTTCCCATGTCTACTCCTGTCTACCCCTTGGGAAGTTCTCTAGATACAGTACCATCCTCCATGGCCTCTTAAGGTGTAGGTTTTAGGGTTTATGGGAGGGGGAGACAAGGGGGGGGACGATGTAACTAGAATATGATGGGAGTATGATGATCATATAAGGGATACATTATGTATATATATATATGTGATCATATATACATAGGTAAATAAGCCTTTATATATATATATAGGGTACGTACATTGAGAATGTGTAAAGCACTCCAACTCCTGCAAGTGTCCTAGACATCCCACCTTCGGCGACGGGAGCTTTAAACCTTAAACCCGAAGCCCTAAACTGTAAATCCTACATCCTAGTCCGTAAATCCTAAATCCAAAAGTCCGCATCCATGCCTGCGCGTCATTTTCAGTGACTTGTGCATTGGAGAAAAGGTCTGAGAGAGAAAGCTACATCCAGATTGGAATAAGGGCCCCTTGGGCGAAGGATTCTACACCTCAACTCTAAACTCTAAACTCTGAACCCTAATTAAATCCTGTACACAGAACCCTAAACCCTAATCCTAAACCCTAAAGAGCTGAGGCCTGGCAGCAGCCGCCGCAGGCTTCGCCCAGGGCTGGGTGTCCCTCGCGCGGGGTGCGCTTGCTGCGCCCTTCTTCCTGGCAGCTTGCTTTAGGTCTTAGCGTTCGGGGTTAAGGGATGGCTGTCCTAACATTCGAATGCATATAATTTGGAGGTAAGAGTGGGGCTGGTGCTGTGGCGGATTGCAGCTTTGCTGTGCTGGCTGGATCTTGATTCTGCACCCTAGGCCTTCCCCTGCAGGACCCATTCTGTCTGGCCTTCCCCTCTGCAGTCTCGCTGACTTGAGGCTGGCGTGCAGGTCCTACGCCCAGGTGGCTTCTTCTGTTTGCGCTTCATGTACTTCAGGGTTTTGATTCAAAAGGCTTTGCATGCACGGATGATGGGCTTGCTGGTCCAGATGTATGGGGCGGGGGCGGAGGAGGATTGACCCTAAACCCTACACCCGGAACCGCGTTCAAGCTCTGCATGTCGGCTGAGGCCACCCTAAATTGTGTTCCTGAAGCGGTAAATGAACCAGACTTAGGTCCCCCCTACAATATAGTATATTGGGGTTATATAGGGATAATGGAAAACAACATGGAAACTGCTACTTAGGTTTCTGTAGGGGTTATAGGGTGTATATTGAGGTTAATTATATCGGGATAATGGAAGAGAAAATAGAAACTACTATATAGTAAAGACTTTGGTCCCTCTACTACACTTCTGTACAACACGAAATGCGATGGTTGCAAAGAAGCTTGCAGCCTGTTTACTCATGATGCTAGCTGGCAGACGGCTCTTTTAATGTCTTCCTTAAACCCTAAACCCTACACCCCAAGGCCCCAAACCCTAAGCCCCAAACCTTAAACCCTAAACCTGGCAACCTGCAGCTCTTCGGGTAGGGGATTCTGATACCAGTCGTCTTTGAGGGTTTAGGGTTCAGCGTTTAGGCCTCAAAGGGACCCTCCTCCAGTTGTTAGGAGCCAATAACGACCGTATAGAGCTTAACGCGGCCTGAGAGGTTCCAGATCTGACAAGGGATGGTATCGTGACACGTGGTTATGTGAATGCCCTCATGAAAAGTGGCCCGGCTCCAGATCCGTTTCGGAAGAGTGTAAGTTGACCTACCATGCAAAGACCCTAAGCTCTAAACCCTAAACCCTGGACCGTGCGATTGTAGTGTAAGTCCAGACCTGTTGGTTTGAATCCCCGGGCTGGGAGGGGCCTTTTCTCCGCAAGGATCTTTATACCCTGAAACCCTAAAACCCTAAACCAACAGTTTTGAAGCGTGCCTGTTCTCCTTGATGGGGACTGATGTATTTCCCCATATCCCAGCTCCTTATCCAAAGAATGAACCCCTACGAAGCATGGTTAGCATGGCATGAGGCTCGAGTTATCAGGAGCTTTTTGTATCTTCAGGGAAAGACATGAAAGAGAAAGATTGTGACTTTGGGTAGTTTTCAAAATCATGGGCCGCTTTTGTGGTTATAGATTATATTACGGCACGGAATATCAAGGGGTACCAAAATGAGACCCTAATTTTGGGGAACTTACCCCAACCCTATATATCTACATAAGTTTGAGGGGGTTTAGGGGTTTAGGGAGATATACCCGGAAACCCTAAACCCTAATTTTGGGGAACCACCCCCGCCAGATGGCCTGGATGCATTGGCGCTGCGACTATTCAAGGCCGGGCGGGGGAGAAGATGTCAGAGCCGTATGCCCAAAGCTGTATCCGAAACCTACACCCCAACTGCTCTTACGGAACTTAGATTAAGTTACCGCAATATCGATATGTAGCAAATAGTATGGTCTCCCCAAGATATTAATCCTAAACCTTAAGCCCTATATTATACCCCAATATAGTAACTTAATTTAAGTTCTTTAACAGCAACGCAGCCAACCAATGTAAGTTCGCAGCCTCAGGCCATGAGTGAGCAGTCGGGGCCTTCATTCCTCCACCCCGGACTTTTCAAGGATTTTATGTTGGGTACTGCCCCCCTCAGTAACAGTCAGTAACAGTTGGATAATAAATATAATATTGTTATATTTAGCCCTTAATAGGACTCTCAATATAGACTGTTAGTGGGTCGGGGCAGTGCCCAAGTTTTATGGTTTAGGCTTTAGGGTTCAAACAACTGCAGGAAGTGGAGTCTCAGTGGCCTGCCCTGGAGCGGGGTGAGTCAGTGGAGCTTCCGGTGTAGACAAGGCACGCTGAGGGTTTCAGGTTCAAAGCTAGAACGGAGAAGCAATTTACTGGGTTGCTGTTAAGGAACTTAGATTCTTAGATTAATAACTTACTATCATGGGGAAACCGTATTATTTGCCATATATCCATATTATGGCAACTTAGTTTAAATTCCTTAACAGCAACCCAGGTTAGCATGGAGATGTAGAAGGTGAAGGGCTCAACGACTTAAGGGTTTCCAAGGTAGCTGAAGGTGTAAATGGTGAGAGTTGAGATGGAAACCCATGGAACCCCAAAGAGGGTTTATAGGGTTTAGGGATT